AGTGTCTGTTGAACTGTCCGGTATTGTTAGGATTTTTGATTTCCCTTTTATGTATTATTACATTTCCTAACTAAACTATTTTCTGACCATATAAGGCAGGATCAGTTATTAATAGAATGTATGCAAGTTGTTTTTTTTTTAAATCAAAGGTGTTAGGCTTTAAATCTAACTTTATTATTATAGATGGTTTACCATGTTTTGTTTGTTGCGTGTTGTTGGGTTTCTGTCTCGTTTACCCAGCATCTCCTGTTACAACGATAAGAAATTTGAATATAATTTTCATAAGGTGCATACCCCTTGTCAAGGTAATCAATCAAATTACTTGATTTGTCTATTTTCCCTTAGTAAAACTTTATACTGTACACTCAATTTAATTTCTCATTTATACATCCGGTTTCATACGAAAAAGGGTCGAAAAAAAATATTCTAGATTTTGACAGTTGTAGGAAATTAACCCTGCATTTCATTGCAGAAAAAAAAATGTCTAAGTCATAAAAATATATCTTGGGTGTTTAAAAGCACCTCTCTTTTTTTATTTGCTATTTCTATAAAATATTTTGGAAACTTCATGTACATGATTATTGAAGTTTGTTAACAGGAAAAAAAAGGGCTGAAAATTTGATTGATTAACTTCCAGTGATGGTTATTATCTTATATGGAATGAAATGTTATGCTAAATTTTCACTGTAGTACTGGGCAGGATAAAACTTTACCTATGCCAAGTATTTCTTTATTTGAAACAAAGATAAATTCTGCACAATTTTTTGAAAAGTACCAATTTAACAAAGACTAGTATGGGAAAATCAATGGTGGTATTACTCCTGTAGAAATCCGACTTGTTCGTTGAAAAATATTATAATATTTGATTACAAATTGTTTCCTATGTATTTTTACGATTCAAATTGAAAGATTCCTGTTTTACATCCTGATTAATTAAAAATTGCCATCCGACGCTATGATTTGTAAATAATTCATTTAAAGTATTTGGAGTTATTGTCAGTGGTAGGCTATATTGTACTTTTAGTACACCGCTTTTGATGATTGATTGATGTTTGCTTAACACCACGATATAGATGATGTCCTCTGAGTCTCTCAGTCTAAGTTTGTTTACTTTGCTGATTGCATCTATCCCACTGAACTTTAAAAAACGATACCACAGTTAAGATTGCAGCATATTATGACTTATATCTTAGAATTGATAGCGAAGGCCGGTTGAGAACTAAACTGTACGGCAAAAGATATTATAAATTTAATCAAGTTGAACTTCCCATTTTTATGTTGCAACATTCTAGCAGCACTTGCATGTGGAGTATATATATATATCTTCAAGCTGGTACAGCATTCAAAGTAATGCGTCTTCTTTATCATGTTGAGGTTTGCCGCTTACAGGGAAGCTAATGAATTAAGGATTCTCATTGATAACTTTCAAAGGTTTACGGACGACATCATGATATTATTGAACATTATAGTTTATCTGTGTCTGTGTCAAAGTTAACCACGAATATAGTCCGTTCTTTTCCTCGATTATGACATTACCGTATATGACTTATCAGTCAGTAATCCTATTCCCGATTATGACCTTTGGTCTGAGTATGAACTCGCATAGCGGGTGATGCATGCATATCAAGAGACTCTTGTCCTGTCAACGCACCCGGTCTTGCTCCTTTTGAAGTTCAAGCGATTCCTTCAGTTTCTGTTTGTTACCCTGATTTGTCTCTTCCTGGTCGATTTACGAGATTTGAACATCGGTAAATTATTGTCGCCTTAATTGCTCATAATATGTCTACTTATCAGGATCAACACAGCGGTTGCCACTTGTACAGCAGAAAATTCTAACCCTTTCGGAGCACCTGGTTTCATTCTAGTTTTGTTTTGAATATGTCATTGTTGACCTATAATGGTTTACTTTTACAAATTGTGACTTGGACGGAGAGTTTGTCTCATTGGCACTCATACCACATCTTCTTGTATCTATTAAATATCATTGATATGTTCATTTCCTGTAAAAATTTACAATGTGTAAAATGTTGAATTATTCGAAACAGTAAGGCTCTTTCACCTTCAGGCATAAACTCCTTAGTCGTATTTTGGACAATTTGTTTTCGAAATTTTCAGTTTTTAATGCTCTTCAACTTCGTATTTAATTTGAGTGCCACTGATGACTCTGATGTAGATGAAACGTGCGTCTGGCAAATTATAAGCGTGATATCTTTGATTAGACCGCCTCTGTGGTCTCGTGGTAACGTGTTCACTTCGAGTGCGGGAGGTCGTGGGTTCGAACCCCGGCCTGGTCAAACCAAAGACTGTAAAATTGGTATTTGCTGCTTCTCCGCTAAGCACGCTGCATTGAGGAGTAAGAGCAAAGACTGGTCGGCTCGGAATCAGAATAATGTGTCCGAGTAAGGTGACATGTCTTCCTGCGGACTGTTACCTTGTGAACTAGCACGTTAAAATTCAGGTTTGGCGTAACAGTCTACTACAAAGCAGGGTTAATATTCATATTACAATAACATGTTCTCGTCCTGAATATGCATATTAAATTGCCGCTGGACGTTAAGCAGCCATCCATCATCATCATCATCATCATCATCATCTTTGAGGTTTTTACTCGGTTGTATTTTGTGTTATTTTATTTTCAATATCATTGATTTACTTCTTCTTACAGTATAGCATACGTATCTCCTGATAATTATAGTGCCTATATCCTTTCTGAGAAACAATTTTTGTATATCAAACTTTCGTATTCTGTCAAGTTTGTGTGTAAAGCAGACGAGACAAATGGATTATGAATTTGGCGGTTAGGGTTAGAAAAGAGATTTACGTATACTTTATATATGCTGCCTTGTTACAGGATATGATTGTATGATTATCAGAACTGCTCACCTTTCACTTCCGGGTTTTGATGCTAAATCTTTAAGTTTTCTATGTAGTATTTTATAGACTTTAGTTAATATGTTAGTATTTTTTTTCTTTTGGCCATGGTGTTGTCTGTGTTTGGTTTTTTTTTCGACTTCTGGATTTTTTATTGCCTTCTTGGTTATGTAATGTGCTCCTCCTTTTTGAAATACCATTGAAAACTCATTATTTGATCAATGTTCATCGAAACTAGATTGTTTTTCTTTCTGACTCGTTCGTTTTCATGTTAACGTTGGTCATGTTCCCCCTTTTCGATAAATTAGCGATAAATATTTGATCGATTTACATAAATTCAAGCTGTTCCATTGATACCATGGCAACATGGCAATCGCATGCTCTCAACTGTTATCAGATGACGAATTTTCGGTTGTGTTCTTTTAAACGATTCCCATTTCTTCTAGGAATATTATATGAAACAGCCCCAAAAAAAGCTGTATCTAAATTATTTTTATTTATCATTCCTTTAAAAATCTAGTTACCTTTTTGAAAACTTTTTAATGAAGGATCCAAGTGTAAGTTATGGCTTTCTGTCAAATGTTTTCTTGAAACTTAATCATTTTATGAAACTAATAAACGTTCCTATTATTGATATCTTAAGATAAAAAGGCGTCATTGTAAGTGAGTGGTGTTTTTAAAAATAATCAAAACTATTGCTGCCAAACTCTAAAAAAAAACAATACGTGATTACAAAACTTTAGGGACTTCTGTGCAGTTCTGGCAAAAATTCAGGAAATTTGATTTGAAAACGGAAATTAAAGTGTTTCAGAATTTTACAACCAAACAAAAACATTGAAAACTTTTAGTTTTGCTTTTGTCATTTGTGTCTATACACATTGAACCGAAATAACAATACACCAAACAAACAACCATATCAAAGTTTGTCAGATAGCACTTATAGCACACGTGTGTCGTAGTTTCCTCTTACCTCAAATACAGAAAGATAATTCAGAGAGTGGTCGAGAATAGTTTTGAAGTTTTTTTTTGTCGTAACCAGTTTAAAGTAAATATTTGAATTAAGTCACGTATGATGACTAGAAACTAATTCATATCTTCGTGTAAGCAAGGACAGTTATGCAATACGAGACATAACAATATAGAAATCTCCTTCAAACCTGTGATAAAGTATTTTTCCATCGACCTTAAACCTTGATATTTTTAAATTGTCATCAAAGACACTTTGACCTAAGTTTATATACCTGAACTTTGTCTTATTGTATGGGCACGAATCAATGGCATGGACATATGCATATAAACGAAGCAACATTTCCTCAGTTTTGAACTTCTTCAGAGACTTCAATTGCAGTAAGGTTTGTTCGGGAGTTAGTATTTTGTCATTACTAATAATCTTTTGTCGAAGATTAATCTTTGAATTTCTTCAAAAATTATTAGACCATTTTAGGAGACCTACTTTTACATCAGAAATAAAGTATTTTGTTTTGTAAGGATTGAAAAATAGAAGTATTGTCTTGTTTACTGTCGTTAAGTCTTTTTTAATATTTGATTTTGAAATTAAACTAAATTTGAAATTGACACTACGGATGAAAGAAATGAGTTTTTATTATAGTTTTAACCAAGAATGATAAGGTCCTAAAGTAATTTTGGTCTTTTAATGCAAAGGGGGAGGGACATATGATGCGCACGTTCCTCTCAAATGATAATTTGTGTGAAAAAAGATAGGAAGTTTCTTTAATTTTGAATCTCTATAAAGCCTTGAAAATAGAGAGAAAAAAACATAACTACAGCAATGTACCTATTGAGAGTAAACATTTGAATCTATTACTCGATAGATAGAATTGAAACGGAACATTTGGCTATTTTATTAGGTCCTTTTTAGTTACATAGCTCTTCACCTGTTTCGGTTTTATTCATCCTTGGCTTTCAAATATTCGACTTTGAGCGTTCCTAATGAAGTTAAATCCAGAAAAGCGCTTCGGACGCATGGAATTTATAACGTGTTTTTTTCTAACCAACGAAAATAAGTATTTTAGTAGGATAAAAAAAAAAAAATACACAATAACGTGAACATGTGTCAAATATACACTATTTAATTTAGAGAATGAGTTTGTTTACATACCGACAATGGCACTTTTTTCAGTAAATTTCATTTCGAGGTACAAACAATAAAATCCACGATAGTCCTTCAGATTTTGAAACGGCCACTTTGACTTGCATTTCTCAGTCTTAATAAAATATCTATCAAATTACAGAAATAGTGTGTTACTTCTCACCAACATGGCGTATTTTCTGCTTCCTGTGACCATGGCGATACTTTATATCGCACAAACATGTAATGCTGACATGCTAACGGGACAAGGAAATAATCTGTTTGGGCACAAGTGTTCTTATTTCTGGAGATTCGCTAATACCACAATAAAGACTAATTACCTTATGCAATACGTACAGATGGATGGAAATATTTGCAATGCAATGCAGTTCAACTATATAAGTCGACATGGAGCTAGGATGCCTGAAACCGATGACTATGCCAGCTTTGGTCAGCTGAAAACGAAAATAATTGAACATTCGTCTAATCTTCTGCGCTACCCATTCATTCAAAGGTGGCAAAATTATCGCCAAAGTACGCATGCCCATGTTGAAGATCTAGGTCGGTGGGAATTGCATTTTCTAGGTAATTTTTTTGGAAGTGGTCTTTACAATTTGTTCCATGGAAATATCTCGCCTGCAACTATGAAGCTGACGGCGACAGAAAGGCAAAGAACACAAACAAGCTCTATAGAATTTTATAAAGCTTTGTCCAAACGTGTAACTGGAAAAGCACTGAACGACATACATCCAGTTGTAAACAATACAATGTTACGATATTGGGACAACTGTCCGAACTACGACTTAACTATCCTGAAGAACAGAACACAGATGCAACAACAGTATGCCTTTCAGAACTCTTCTTATTTCCAAAATGTTATAAAATCTGTGACAAGAAAACTTGGAATGAACGTATCCTTAACGCCTGGTAAGTCTGTTTTTTATTACATTCGCAGCCTTTTGTCCGTATAAACCATTCGTTAAATTTGAATAATCAAGATCACACTATCTTCCGAGACGAGCTATTGGTCATTAAGAGGTTGTGCAGAATAATCCATTTGCGCACGATATTACTTGGTAGTCACATGGTGTAGGTCAATCGTTTCCCATATCTGTTCTTCAGTCAATGAGGGCTTCTATTGCGCGGAATCAAGGTAAATCATTGTTGAATTTAGCATACTTACTATAATTTAGATTAAGCTGTAACTATAACTATAAACTATAATATAGCTTTAATATGCTAAATTGAATTCATCACTGGTAAGCTAAAGCATATATTAACTCAATTTAGACTATGCTCTATTATCATATGGAAATGAAGAAATATTTTTGAATATGCTGAAATTAAGAAAACAAAATCAAACAATGAGAGTCTAGCAGATTACGATGTTTGATTGTACAAGACTAACGTCGGATACTCTAGTTTTCTCAATCCATACAACAGATATAAAATTTGCGCTCCTCAGGTATTTCAATACTTTGCGTTACTTGTTTCTAAAGAAATACAAAAAATTGCCTTACAGAATTGGACACTGTATTGAATATAAAAATAAACAGGTGACTATCAATGGAACAACTTTACACTGAAGACAAAAAGATAATTGTCTACACAACAGTTAGCAAAAGCCCATATACAAGGATATCAACGGCTGTTTGTAGAACAAATATAGGATGGTTTAAGCTCCTATCCTGTTCGAGTAACGCTCGATGTTTTTCTTTCTTTGTTTCCTTCTTTATACGTATAACACTCATTACTAAATTTATATATAGATTTTTTTTTATTTTCTCTCAGCAGAGGATATAAAATGTATTTCGACATACATATTAGTGTGGTTGAAATAAATGCATAACATTATTTTAACAGATGATATTAAAGCAATGTTTATGATTTGTGCAACTGATCTTGCTGTTCGGAACAATACAGACTGGTGCAGTTTACAGACGGAAACAGAAAGGGAGATAATCAACTATGAAGGTGATTTAGAGGTAAAACCGCTAACTGAAGAGATAGAGCATCCAAAATATATGCATCTTACACACATGCACACTGTCTCTCTATCTTTTAATAATGCTAGAGTAAATATAAATTTATCGTCTTTCGTCGTCGGGGTTTCAACAAGCAACGATTGTCTTTCATTTCTGTAGAACTTCTTCTAGAAGCACCGCCCGTATCTTTTGTATTGCATTCGTCCAATTAACCACGTCTTAAAGCCTTAGGAATATTCATTCTTAATTTTATTGTTATATATATAGTCTCGTTCAAAACCTTTTGTCTCAATCTCATGGAGTCATATCAGCCTAGAAATAAAACAAACGCTGAATACGCTTTGTTCATATTATTTCCATTACCAGATAAAAATCTTTTACTATATGCTGATTTCTGATGTCATTTTTAAAAATGTTTCATGGGGAAATTGGATCCCTGCATCCGCTTTGCTCGTTTGACATTTTTCATGCATCCGTCATTATTCTTATGTCCATTATTCAACCATACCTACAGAGATACATTAATGTTACCATTTATCACATTTATTTTTGCTGTGTTATGGAACAAATCAATAGTATTTACAAAAATGCGGAGCTCCAAAGTAAATTCAAGAAGAAGGAAGTCCATAAAACTTGACAAAATCAAACGTTAGGCTATATCAACCAACGAAACAAATTATCCAAATTAAGATATGCATTCCTTTGCTAAACGCATTGTAGATGTTAAACCGTACAAACGTCGTCTAAACCAAATATTTCGATGTTAATTACACCTACCGGTGAATATGCCTCAAATTCCCCTCTATGCCGTGGTATTTGCCATTTTTGATATTCCTTTTTTATCCTCGCGAGCCTCTTCCCGCCAAAATTATTCGGAACCTTTCTCCCCTTATCGCGATTATTAAGACAACATGATTAAGCAATATTGATTGATAGAGGTAATCCGAAAACTGTAAACAAAAATGCACGGCACCAATCGTGATCGTATATCGAAGAATGCATTGTGTATAAAAAATGGAAAAAGACGTCACTACAAATGAACGATTTAATGATGGAATGACAATGACGTTTACACATAGATACCATGACGTTACATAAAGACAGCGCTAACGCGTATAAGTACATGTTTAATTCGCGCGATACTATGACAGTCTCTACTTATCCTCAAAATTATGCATAAACAAGTTTATGGGTTACAGCTTATTAGTAAAAAAAAAAAGATTTCCCTTTACCTGTACAGAGAGTTTCAATCAAAATCTATTCGGTGTAATTAAACAGATATATCATGTTATGGAGGGTTTTTTGCGAAAAATACCAGTCTTGGGACCAAATTTCCCTCGCCTAGCGGCTCGGGAAATTTCACAGTCCCTTGACTGGTATTTTTCGCAAAAACCCCTCCATAACATTACATATCTGTTCAAAAGATAACGTTGGAATCAAGAGTAATGACTATATCATTTTAAATTAAATATATTTTCAGGACTATTATTCATTATTATATGGTCATTCATTGATAAGAGAAATGACGTGCCCACTTTGGCAGGACTTATTTTCATCCATGGATGATGCCATTAGCAAGCATAAATCCGGAGAACCGTAAGTACTAGTCATGTGTTTAGTCATACAGAAATCAAGACAACCGTAAGTACTATACACGTATTTAGTCAAACATAAATCAAGAGAACCGTAAGTACTATACATGTATTTAGTATTAAACTATGTTAAAATTTGTTCTCGATACTTAAATTTATTTGAGGGAACAAAAATTCAAACGAATTTTTCAGTAACTATATGACAATGTAGCATGCAGGACTAAGAAGAAAATGTAAAGGTCAATCGACACAAAAGGATAGTTATAAACACTCCAACTAATGGTTTCGTGCAATTTGATATTCTGCCCCGGACAGTTAACAATAAAAAACTAAAAAATTCGCAAATTCTCCGGGTTATGATGAGACAGTGGTTAACTCATCTTACCCATTTGAGTGGTAGAATTTATCAGAGAATTTAGGACAAGTTTTCCTTTCTCGCCTTTTTGTTATTTATCTTTGGGATAGTTACTAGGGATTGAAATTGTTCGGTCTAAACAACATACCTGTAAATGTTTTCGAAAATCCCTTCCGGATAACCTGAGATCACTCCGGTTTTTGATGGGATTCGTATTACTCAGTCTTTATTTTCTATGTTGTATTTTGTAGACTGTTGTTTGTCTTCGGTCATTTTTTCCATGGCGTTGTCAGTTTGTCTTCGGTAATTTTTTGCCATGGCGTTGTCAGTTTGTCTTCGGTCATTTTTGCCATGGCGTTGTCAGTTTGTCTTCGACTTATAAGTTTGAATATCCCTTAGGAATCTTCTACCTCTCTTTTACTAGTGATTAAGATTGTTTGTTCTGCTTAGGGTTTATGTATCCAAGGTGATTTAAAATAAAAGCTATTATTCACTTAAAAAAAAGAAAAAGAAAAAGACAAATTAAGAAGGCAAATGTGAAAACTTCCACAATTTGTTTGCAGAAAAAAAATAATTTATCTTCTTAAACTAAAATTTATAATTATATCATACTCTCTATTTAATCTATTATTTATTAGCCGAACTGTATATTGTGAACTAACAAGTGCTAACCTTAACCTTATCACTGATATGATATATACTAACGTTAACGAGGCCGTGATAAAGTACCGGTACTTTATGTATCTATAACAAATGTAAGTTTCAAACAAAATTATATACCATTAAAAAAATTGTTTGTTCTAAACATCATACGAGGACAGTTAAAATAACGAGACTGGAAACCTCAGAGATGAGATTTCCATGCAGTCGGTGATTTGTCGTCAATGTAAAAATTCATATTTATGACATCAGGAAACGGGTTTATACATGTATACACTTTTTAATATTGCCTTGACGTTCACTTATCATAATAAAACTTAACATACAACATTGGAATAATTATTTCAACGATTTACACCAAAGAAGGATTACTGATTATTGTATTTTTCTTTACTAGGTATGTTCTTGGAAACTTCCGATTTGGACATTCTGACACCATTGACACGTTTTATTCAGCTCTCGGACTTTATCGGGATAGCCAACCACTTCGTGCAGATAACTTTGACACAATGAAAAATCGCAAGTTTTATGAAAGCAAAGTTACGCCGTTTTCTGCTAATATCGCCTTTATCCTTTATAATTGTGGAGGTTCTGGTGCAGAAAATTATCTCTTGAAAATGATGGTAAATAATCAGCCTGTAACAATACCCGGATGTGACAGTGACTTCTGTCCTTACCTTAAGGTCAGAGGTATATATAGAAGTTACATTGAAAACTGTAAGTGGCGAGAATTGTGTAGCGTTAAAACAATTTCACAAATTGTTGGATGATCAAATTCAGTGTTTATATTTGAATATTTTTTTACTATTTCTAATAAACTTTCTTTTATGTATTGTCATTTTTTTTTATTTACAACGCTACCATGGCTACTGTAGGCACGAATTTCCAGGGGAGTTAAAAGATGAGTGCGTTAATGGACGAATAGAAATAAAATGAGACCACAGGCCGACAACACTAGTTAACCATAGTGAATACTCCGCGTTGAAAATGCCATTGAAATTCCCTTATCTATCGTTTATCATCAACCCTTGGTTCGCCTGGTTAGATTTTCAGACCTAGTTTTTATTGTCCGTAACTTACTGACAGAGCCTAGTGTAACCGAATTCGAAGGAACGTTTATTAGTTAAATAGAACTTGTTTAATTTTATTATCAATGGCAAATTATACTTTAACTTGCGTTGATCTGTTATCATTTGTTGAACTTTCGATAGTTATGTTGTACACTCTTCTATGTAATTTTTATTTTAGAACATTATTTCCATTCTTGAAAACAGATTTTATTTAGTAAATATTGAAAGATTTTTGAAAATGGCCCAGTTGTGAAATAAATTCAGAAGAAATTGGCCTTACCTCTGTAACAAAGGGAAATTCTTAATTCGACTTAGCACGAAACGCATGACAAGAGTAAACTATTTGTGTGTGTGCTTTCATCTTTTTTCCTTTCCTCTCGATCAACAGTAAAACATCACTACTAAAACCACTTATCAATGTTGAATATCTTTTTTTCAAATTCATTTTATTAATACATATAAAAATAAGAAGATGTGGTATGATTGCACATTTATTCTAGCGTGACTAATGAGTCTTGTGTAGACGAAACGCGCGCCTGGCTTACAATATTTTAAGCCTACTAGTATCTTTGATTATATTATGCAGGACAAAATTTTTCATCCTAGCCCCCCCCCCCCCTCCTAAAAATCAAATGGTAGCTTCCTAATCGCTTGTTTATCTCCGTTATCCCTAACGTAACAGTCACCCATTTTGCATAAAAAATAACGGATATGTTATAGGTTTTCTTAGAGACTCAAACAAATCGTATTTTTATCATTTATCATTATGCGCGTCTTTAAACATATCTAGATATTCTTAAAGATAAACAAAACGCCAACATTATATATCAACAAATGAAGCCTCCAGTGAACATGGTGAAGACAGTAAAATTAAGGGAAACGTTGCATGCGACGTCTACAAAAAGTCGACTTTAAAAATGAGAAATTAAATATGTTACAGACATCCATTTCATACAAAATGCATAACAAAGCATGGACTATTGTTACGGGTGTGTAGTTAAGCATAAGTGCAATGTAGGTACTCCTAATTAGAGAATATTGGATCGTTTGGAGGTAGGTTCAAACCCATTTTTCTATGATTCATATAAATAAGAAGATGTGGTATGAGTGCCAATGAGACAACTCTCCATCCAAGTCACAATGTATAAAAAGTAAACAATTATAGGTCAAAGTACGTCCTTCAATACGGAACCTTGGCTCACACCGAACAGCAAGCTATAAAGGGACCCAAAATGACTAGTGTAAAACCATTCAAACAGGAAAACCAACGGTCTAATCTATATAAAAAACGAGAAACACTTATGAACCACACCAACAAACGACAACCACTGAACAACAGGCTCCTGACTTAGGACAGGTGCATACAAATGCAGCGGGTTTTAACGGGCGCCAACCTTCACCCTAACCAGAAACAGTAGTGTAACATTACAACATAAAAAGACACACAATAAAATATCAATTGAAATGGCTTAACTCGACCAAAAAGACATGTAAACAAAAACAAGTAAATCAGTATGGATTTTGCAAAACTAAATAAGGATACATCTACAAAATAAACACAAAATGGAAACTTTTGTCTGTTTCTTAAATAAATGAAAATGAAAAAAAAAACTGTAAAATAGGTGAAAATCGGGTACCCTCGCGTTGATCACATCACAAAATTATGTTTGTTTCCGTTATGATACACACTTTTCTAAGTAAAAGTTGTTACGTACTTAGTTCTGAGCCTCAGGGTCAAAAGACAACAGTATACTGACGGCCAGGAATGGAAGAAAGGAGCTGATGTATTTCCCGGGGAAAAAATGCCGCCACAAAGCAAATAGATTGACGCCACAATATCTTATGACGCGTTTTCTCCGAATAACCCTACCTAACCGGGGAAAGTTATTCATAAAAAGGAAATTTGATTTGATTAGTTATTGTTCAAATGCATTGTTGTATGTAGGGTAATATGTGCAGTATACATCGCTATGGCTTAGACATATATATATATATATATAAAAGACACATATGCATATTGACTGGAAACAAAATGTTCTGAAAATCTTCAAACAGACAGGAAATTTTTTACAAAAATGTGTGAAATCTGCATAAAACATGTGGCAAAATTATTTTTTTCTAATAAAATCTCGCTAGAATGCACTGAGATTCTGAAACCAGCTTCAATAAGATTTCCAATGATCAATGATTAGCAGTAATATATGTGCTGCTTCAGTGATGTTTTGAGATGAATGTATATTATATTTGAATAATAAAGTACCTCCTCTTTTGGTCTCAAAACCCCACCACATTCTTTATGTGCCTGTCCCAAGTCAGGAGCCTGTGGTTCAGTGGTTTTCGTTGGTTTGCCTATAATTGCTTACATCCACTCCATTTGAACTTTGGTGAATAGTTGTCTCATCGGCAATCATACCACATCTCCTTATTTTTATATCAAGGATGCTAATATGTTAAAATACATTTGGTGCTATGTGTGACCATGTGACCGAAGAGCTATATTAACAATGAAGGACAATTATGTTTTGATATAGAAAGTCTCTCTTCCGCCGCGCCCCATCACCCATGCTGCATAATAAAACGCTATGTCTTGTATTGCATTATTTTGCTCATTCGTATATCCTTTCAATGATAATGGAAATTTCTTAATGTATCCTGAAGGAATCGTACATCTGGTACTTTTTTGCGATCCAAACGATTTCTGAGGTTTTTTTTTTTACAGCACAAAAGATACTTTGCCACATATAAACAAGTGAGAAGGTGGCATGTCTTGCATTTGTAAGCTCTGCTCTCGACTGGTTTAATAAGTGAACATGTTAGAGAAGGAAAACATGCGGAAATTTATTGAATTTTATTGAATTAGTATTGCTTATGTAGGGCTATAACAAATAAATAAACATCGAATACTAAACGTCGCCACACATACAAAATAAGGCACAAGTCATCGAATCACAGTTAAAAAATATCATAATGATAGTAAAACACACATAATCTTTTTCAAAAATAGCAAATAAAATGTTAACTAATTCAAATAAAAAAAAATGTTTTTTTTTTTCGTTAAAAATTAAATTATTTAATACCATAAGGTTTAAACCGATACAGAGGGTAAACCAGAAACGGATGGTTTGTTTGGTCTTGGTTTACTGTCAGGTTTTGATCTGTTTTCTTCTGACGGCTGAGTGATATTTTTCTGTGCTGTTTGATTTTCTCTCTTCAGCTTGTTTTCAATTTTTTGTATCTTTTCTTTTAGTCTTGCCTCTTTTCTAGCAATTACTTCTTGTCTTCTTTTTGCGGACTCCTTTGCCATTTTTCCTAAATACAACAATAGATATAAGAAGATGTAGTATGAGTGCCAATGAGACAACTCTCCATCCAAGTCAAAATTTATAAAAGTAAACCAGTATAGGTCAAAGTACGGTCTTCAACACGGAGCCTTGGCTCACACCGAACAGCAAGCTATAAAGGGCTCCAAAAATTACTTGTGTAAAACCATTCAAACGGGAAAACCAACGGTCTTATCTATATAAAAAACGAGAAACGAGAAACACTTATGAACCACATCAACAAACGACAACTACTGAACATCAGATTGCTGCATGTTTATCTAATTATTGTTTATGCATATACATGTAATTACTATTTTTCCTGTCCAATAGAATAGCAAGTCAAAATACGTAGATGAAATAATCCGTGTAATTCTTCTTTCCACATATGTCATTGATGAGATCTGGTGTAGAATCGTGCAAAACATCTTATCGAGAATACATGTGCAACGTCAGTAAATAATCGAACTTAATGAATTATAATAACAAATATTGGAAAAATAAAACTGTCTGTCGAAATGGTTCAACATTATGATCAGTATCCTAGAAAAATCAAGATTTAAAAGTACACCGTTTTTACAAAACTACAAAAGGCAGATTGCTCCTCGAAATTTCAAAGAAATAAACATGTAAACAAACATGCATATTTGAATGCATAAACTACTTTTCTCTTAAAAATATCGTTCCATATTACTGTTGAAAATTGTTCTTAAAGTTATTTTGTTTTAGTTTTATCAGAAACCTTGCAAAAATTGGGAATATTTGTACTCATTAAATTTTACATTTTGGATCGTGAAAGATCTGTTGCCACTTAGTCGTTGTTACTGCAAAAATCCACGAAAATGATCGAATCATTCTTCAAAAACATGATAATTTATATTTGTAATCGTAAAAAGACTGGATTCACTTGACTTATTGCGCTTCACTTTTGTTTGTGAATAGGGCTATGCTACTTCAATGTCATTGGATCTAATCATTATTTGATATTCCACACCGACCAGTTGCCTATTACTATATAAGCTCGTCTGTCTGTCCGCATAAGTTTTAGTTTTATGTCGTATGAAAAGTAAAAAGATTGTTTCGTCTGATTTTCTTCAATTTATATGTACAACCATATCTATAAAACGAAGATCCTTGTTGTTGTTTTTATTGTTTGTTTGTTTGTTTTTTTTTTTTTGTTGTTCTTGCTTTTTTCATGTTTTTTTTCTAGTTTTGAGATTTTTGCAATTGATTTGCTTTATAATCTGTACTTTGAATATCTTTGGCTTCCAAAACTCCGTGTTCAATATACGTTTATAAAGAGGAAATCAATCTTGCAAGTCACTAAACTATGATGTATACATTAAAATGGATTATGCAAAACTTTTAGAATTACCTTTATCTGCGAGCGCTCCAATACGTCGAATTTCGACCATTATTCCTCTTTCTTCTTTGTCATATAT